TTTTGACAGTCATTGAATGAAACAAACAATAAGTAAAGCGATTTTTCTGTTTTGCATATCATTAAATATACTGAATGAATTAGTTATATGTATAAATGTATACTACAATAACGTTTCTGTAATCGAGTGTGTATATATATATGAGAAACAAGACGGGATGCGAAAGAAAAACTATCAGTCTATATCTATATCTATATCAGCTTGATTTTGGTTGTGTGTTGTGACATTGTTAAAGAGTTGAAAAGTAAACTATTTAGGTTCATGAATTCTGGCACATAAAGTTTGTTTGTTTTTGTTGATTTTTTCTTGTAAATGTCTGTCTTGATTATGATATTAATGGAACGTAGGAATGGATTCAAAACCCAAAACACTTATAGAAACACTTTTTTTATACGGCCCTTAAAAAGTTATTATGACGCTGAGCATCTGATACGGCTGTGTAGTTTTACGAGTCACGGAATATTTTTGCAAGGACACGATCTGTTAGCACAATCTTACAACTTGTGTAGCACCTTGGGGGAAACTATCCATCAATCTAAACATTCGATTTCATCCATCATCAAAAATCATATGGTCCGTCCGTCTTTGGCTCTTTTTAAATTTTATGTATTGATTCGCACATGCCGTAAATTCTTGTGGTGCCGCCATAGGGCTTGTTACGTCATAGTCACCGTGTTGGTTGACGATAATGAGAAATAATAGTTTTAGCTTTAATTTTTTATTTTATTTTTTTATTTTATTTTTAGAAAGTCTATAACTTCATCTTGGAGTTTTAATGAATATATTTATCCAACTGAATTGTTTTATTCACTACCTCTGATGACTTAAAAGGAAGTAGATGTCTGCATTGATTGATGATCTACAACAGTCATTGGTTTGACGTCAATTAAGAATGACGTTCGGCAAAAATGTTTTTGATCTTCACACAGACATAACTGATAACAAAATATGATAGGTAGATACCTAAAAATGACAAGGCTTTCTACGGAATAGAACTTTACAGCAGAAAATAGACTTTGAGCTTCCAAGCTGTAATAAAACCAAAGTGCTTTTTGCTGCGTGAGCTAAGTCTTGATATTTAGAGTCAATGAAGCTGAAACGGGAAAAAAGGACCATCCATTACAATGGCTTTCTCGTTTTTTGTCAAGGTCTAATGAAGCAAATCGACTCAATATATAAGCCACTTTTTTCAAGTGTCTCATAATTTACTGAGCTACACTAGAGTGAAAGGATTAAACAGTAGTTTTTCAAGTCGAGGTTTTCAAGTTTCAAATGCTGCGAGTCTCTCTCATTTTTGGAGTATTTCTCCATACCATCAGCATCGTGCGGGGTTATCCTGGTAGGTACTCCTGTTTGAACAGGATTATTTAATTTTAAATATTACTTATTTCCAATGGGGCTAATAGATAAGTAAAGATAATATATACAGTCAATTCAAAAAATGTTGTCGTCGACCAACTCAAGCCTACGCGAATGGACCGAAAGGAACTCTGGATAGCAATCATTGAAGCCAAGTTGAGTACATAATCTTATCTGACAAGTTATGTTTGGTTTACAGCACGAACCTTCGTAGGCGAGCGGGAAGTGTTGAAGGAGACGTAATTTTAATGCCCTCATATTTTCGGAATTGTGAACTGTATCATAACTACTTTGTTTTTCTTTCCCTAACCCCAAAGACATGCATTTTATGGATTGTTTCTCGCCATTATTATCTTTACTACTATCGGGAACAATTAATTCAGAACGAATGTTTAACGGCTTCAGTGATTTTTACCCACATTCCTTTCGGTCCAGTCGCGTAGGCTTGAACCGGTCGACGACAACGTTTTTTGAATTGACTGTATATTTAGGCACTGCCTAAAAGCGGAGCTCCCGATACGGAAGTCATAAGTGTAAACTTTAACTTTAAATACTTTACTAGTCAGTACTAAGATCTCGCTAATTTGGCATACGTTATGATTTACTATGAAACAATCCAACTAGAATAAATTAAACATAAAATACAATTAGAAGACGGAAGAAAACGAACAAACTTGAACTGGGAAACTAAGATAAATACTTACATACGTTGGCGAAAAATAACTTGTACGGTAACTGACTATGACTTGAACTGTAACTGATTAATTTTACGAACGAAGGCTGACTTTAAGGAGAAATTAACATAACGAATACACTTGCTAGAGACTAGGAAGGGATTAACAACGAACGGTACGAGAAAAATAGCAATAACCTAATAATATATTTTAATTGACCGCTACAACAGGGAGAACAATTTGAATGAAACTGAAAAGTAAAAATAAGATCGGGGAAAATTTTTTCAATTATTTTTTATTCGAGATGAAGATAATTTAATTCTCTCATAATAAAAACCATGCAGTGAAATCGAATTGAAATGCACTATAATGGTATTTTTTCTCGCGAGTATACTCTCCCACTTAGGAATTTCATACACAACTCACCACCACCCTCAGGGGCTAGTTTTATTCTTGGAAGCCTCTTCGACAAAGTTTTCCACGGCCGACAGTTTTAGGCTTTGAATCTCTTTTACTTTAAAAAACGTAAGATAACTACAGATAATCCAATGCAATATCAAGTTTAGTGAAATTTACCTCGGATGTCTTTCATTGAAATCGAAAATCTGGAGATTTTGGACAAATCAAGACTAAAAAACAGACTTAATTAAACTGGTTAAGGTGAGCAGAAAAATAAGCTTACTTTCAGTTAAACTTGACAAGAACAACTGAGACAAAATAGAAAATAATGCAAAAGGCAATGCAAAATACAAAATGACGATTTTTTTTGTAACTAAATTGGCGTTTGTATTAGCTTTTTAAAGTGAAAGTCTAGGTCTTTATACGATAACATCTCTAAACAACACAAACTTAAGCTCATTTTTATAATCATACTTGCTCGAACAGCTTGATAAACCGTTGAATATTTGGTGTAAATATATATTTCATTCAATAATTAAATAAATTATATGTGGAAAGATACAAAATTATTGAAAAAAAGTCTTCCTTGTTTTGCCGATGGTACCCCGCGATAGGAGGCGAACAAAGCTGCAATTTTCTTGAACGAAAAACATACGATAGTTGGTTAAAAACAACCGAATTGTTAAAGATTTAAGAAGCTAAATAAAGGACGAATATGCGTTGCCGTAATATGCTCTCCGCGGTTATATTTCCTCTAGCATTAAAATAAATTGAGCTTATCTATAGAAATATAAAAAGTTTTGAGAGAAAGTCTTTAATTTGTCAATTTGTCTAGAAAAATTCTTGTCAAAAAAAAAATATATATATACGATTGTTTGCTAAAAAACACACACCTGAATTCTTGAAGAACACTTCTTGATCCATCTTTGACTACATAAATTTTTTTAAAAACTGTTTTTGGTCTATGACCTGTCCTAAAGCGATTTTTTCTGTGCATTTGAGAGCCGTATTTGTGAGTAGTTTTGCTTTGAAATCAAGCGGGATTTCTGTGTTGTGTACACTGACGCCCGTACGTACGGACGGAAGTGACGTCAGTTAAGCCATGAAAAATCAACTCGATGGTTTACCAATTTTTCTTAAGTATGGTGCTCCGCTGGGAATACAGCATCAAGTATCTTACTTAACTCTAAGTTTGTTATAAACTAATTTCAGTTCTTTGTTGTCATCAGGTAATTTCTGTAGTAACAAGGTCAACGGTAACTACCCTGATTCAGCTAAATGCAATGGTTACATCGCATGCTCCAATGGCATCACCTATCACATGCCATGCCCTGCAGGTTTAGTGTGGAATAAGGTCCAAAAGATGTGYGATTGGAAGCGTAATGTTCCTCCTCCATGCGGCACTCTGACCTTAATAACGAGTTCTCCTACACCTGGACCTGTTACAACGCCTGCACCTGGTAAGAAAAAAATCTCAATATAAAGTTTGCGCAAGATTAAGGTTTTTAAAGATATATTCATTGATGAAATTTGAAATTCCTGTGTTTTGTATCTTACTGATTTATGTTATGTCGTTTTTACCTTCAGATAGCTTTACCTGTGCTGGTAAAACCGATGGTAACTATCCTGATCCAAACAATTGTCATGGTTACATCGCATGTGCCAATGGCATCAAATATCACATGCCATGTCCTGCCGAACTAAAATGGAATGATCGACAAAAGAGATGTGACTGGCCAAAATATGCGTATCCTGCTTGTGGGGTCTCATCCAGTTCAGGTCCTTCTTATTCATGTAAAGTACAAGTCATCTCAAGTACGTACAGTTCGATTATTAACTTTATTATATAAGATTTTTTAATGTGAAAATTTATCAATGCATTAATCATTGTTTATTATTATTATTAATAATTAATTAAGATTACTCCTGGTAAGCTAGATAAGAAATATTTAGAGAGTGACTGAAATTTTCAATTTGCATATTTRCTTCTCTATTGGTACCATTAGCGTTTTGACCATAATTTAAATGACGTTTTCCTCTAAATCGACAGACAACTTTTGCAGTGGAAAGGCAAACGGAAACTACCCAGACCCCAGTAATTGTCATGGTTACATAGCCTGCTCCAATGACCTAATATATCACATGCCATGCCCTGCTCAACTGAAATGGAACGACCGTCAAAAGAGATGTGACTGGCCAAAACATGCCTATCCTGCTTGTTCCGGGGTTACACCAACACCAACAATTGCACCAACTACGATTTCAGGAGGAGTTGGGGGTAATTATAACAATTAAGTTAAACGGGATTGAATCTGTAGTAATTGCTTTTGATTTTTTTTGCGAATTTACCAACTGAAACTGCGCTCCGATTTCTAGGTAATTTCTGTCAAAAAAAAGCTAATGGAAACTACCCTGATCCCAACAATTGTTTCGGATACATTGCTTGCTCCAATGGCTTTACATATCACATGCCATGTCCAGCTAGTCTAAAGTGGAATGATAATCAGAAGAGGTGTGATTGGCCAAAATATGCCAACCCTGGGTGCTCTGGAGCCCATCAATGGCCGTGTTATATCTGCGTCTGTCCAAATGGAAACTGTCAAAGTAAGTATTCACACTCACTACCCATACAACCGCAGGTATTCATATACAGCATCAAGTATCTTGCCTAACTTTAAGTTTGTTATGAACTAATTTCAGTTCTTTGTTGTCATCAGGTAATTTCTGTAGTAACAAGGTCAACGGTAACTACCCTGATTCAGCTAAATGCAATGGTTACATCGCATGCTCCAATGGCATCACCTATCACATGCCATGCCCTGCAGGTTTAGTGTGGAATAAGGTCCAAAAGATGTGTGATTGGAAGCGTAATGTTCCTCCTCCATGCGGCAATCTAAACATCGTACCAACAACGTCTTCTAGTAAGGAAAACCTCTCTTTATGAAAATCATATAATTTTGTGAAAATTAAGATCAAAATACACAATGGGAATTTTTTTGAGGAACTTTGCCGCAACGACAATGGTCAAGCAAGCTTATTTTATTATAAAGCGGTGAATTATGAAGCGAATTTGAGATCATAACTATATCTATTCTATTATTCCTTCAGATGAGGATAATTACATAATAGTCTTTACATCAGAAAGTTTAAATGTACAGTTCTTTAACGGAAGTGTGAATTCAATTCAGTGGTTAAGTTTTTTCAGACGTTAAGACGCTCTGGAAATATCGTGCTAGTACTTCGTGCACAATCTATTCAAATTTCCTTACCTAGACTGATAATAAAAATCGTAATATAACTTAGCTCATTGTTATATTTTAATCAAAACCAAAACAACTGCTATGGATACATCGCGTGATCTAATGATTTCACATATCACATGCCATGTCCTGCTGGCCTCATGTGGAATAATGATCAGAAAAAGTRTGATTGGCCGCGACATGCTACTGGCAATGGCTGTAAAGCAGCAAGTATAATGTTGTAATGTTTTGACAAAAATAACAAAACAAAATTGACAGCATGTTTTATTTGACTTAAGTCCCATTTACAGAATCAATAAAACTAATAAAAAATAAAGTTTTCAAAATCAATATGCGCACTTCTATAAGAGAAACATTTCCTTTTCTCTGCTATCCAGCTTAAATGGGATGATGCACCTCTAATTTTGTAATTAACTGAAAGCCAATTGAAGGCCACAAGTCAGGATCACTCCTTACAAATCTTTCTCTCACTTATACAAGCAATACAACTTAATTAAAGTGAATCTCTTTCTCTTTATAGGTTGTAGTGATATTCTGTCAGTTGAATGCTGTGATGTAATACAAGCCAGAAATGACTGTGGAGGCGTGGTTGGTCTCTACTGCAGAAAGTCATGCAAGAGATGTTGAGCATCAAACAACTAAATGATCCACTTCATTCGCCTCTGACTAGTCTTTACACAAATGGAACACTAGATAGTACATCATCCTAGGTACTACACCAACGTCAATACGTCATTAGAAAATCTTAAATACTTACATGTCTGTTCAAATAAACTGAAACAATTGCATGGACGCTTTCGCGTAACCTTAATCTCTTAGTCCTAGTCTACGAATTTACCTTTCAAAATAGCCCAATACTGTCTCTTTTTACACCCTAAACACATACTGAGTAATATAGAAAAAGATAGCAATATTAAAATTGACGAAAGAAAAATTGAAATAATAAACTAAACGTTTCACGATCAGTTATTGAATAAAAATTCATTGCAATAAATAGTTTTTGTTTATATTACGAAGGGGTGAAAAACATTGGGGAAAAAAGTGAGAATTGACGTACGCATTTTTGATAGGACTGCAAAGTTATCAGAAATAACTACCGGAACACTCATCAGAGTAATAGTGCCATTCTAGCAATGTTTGATATTTTTTTGCGCACTTTCTAACGATTTTAACGAATAAGAGTCTATCGACGAAGTGACTGTGACTGTGACCTTTACGATACTTTGCAGTTTTACCAACAAAGCGTAAAAATGTCGACAAGGGATAACCGGTAGTCCAGTGTAATTGTTTACAGTAAAAACATGATGACACAACAACCGGAAATATAAATAGACACATTTAAATGAAATGGAATGAATTAATAATGCAGGTGAAACCCAGACTTTGGGTTTGCAAGTCGCATTGAAATCTTAATAAATTGAACAATAAATACATGTTGATTGTCATGAATCCAGACTGGACATGATATTTAGATCAACGAAGCTGAAACAGGAAAAAAGAAAACCCACGCCAGAAAGCCTTTGTCTAGGTCTAAGAAGCAAATCGACTCAATATATTAAGGCCTACGGCAAACGTCGAACTAACCATGAACTTAATTAAGTCAAACCTATTAATTTTGAAACAGACTAATTGCTATAACGACGTTTGCTGCAATTTCGCGTCCAGCATGAATTTGACAAAGCCATAGCGGATATTACAACCTTTTATCATATAATTATCCATAAAATA